ATAATAATAATTATTCGATGGTTATTATTTGATCATACTAATTGATTAGTTCGTATTATTATATCTGATTATATCGTAAACGATTATTCTTTAATAACATTATTGTCGTATGATTATTATTTAAATGACCACATAACCTAGGGATATCTTGAGCGATTGATATTCTCAAATAATTGACGTGCTTGTATTAACCCGTGGTTTAATTACCCAAGTTTGAGGTGATTAAGCGAATAAACATTAGTTGGAAACCCGACTAATCGTTACAGTTGGTGAGTAGTTTTGCTCGGTTGGCCTGTCCACGTAGCCACCGGAGTGGCGTCAGCTGAGGCTAAATCAATGCGAAGAGAAACTTATTGTTGCCAGTAACGTCACAAACGTTTGATAGCCTGAACAACCTAATAATACTCTATGCAAGAAATATGTTTGTATCATAAATCATTCCTATTTGTATCGATATCGAAGAGTCTTCTATCCACAACAATCAACAACCAGATTGCATGTGAAGGGTCCTGGTGGGGTAATAAACTGTCATGTCACAAAACTATTAAAATAATGAACGAGTGGAAGATTTTCAAAGATATTGATGTGTGCGAGACAAGCTCATGAAGTATTGCTCAGCCAATTGTTGAGGAATCAGTTGTGGTTCCAATTAAATGTTTTCTTTTCCATAATGTTCTAAACTTTAGAAGCAGTCGGCTGGTTCAAGCTACCGGCGAAAATTTGCGCAAAGAAAAATTAAGTTGTCTGGGACGAATTAATTGATTTCTCATACATTGCAATTTCGTGCATTTTCATGCATTACGTGAAAGAAGGCATCGCGACTGAAATCGAATGCGATCATTTTCAAACAGAGACGTCTGCATGCTTGCAAATATACGAATCAGAATTGCATTCAAGGGAAAATTATTGATTACCGTCTATTAATTTTGAGAATTCCCAACGAGATTGGCTACTTGGATGTTTACTCAACAGAGCGTGATGGCTTCGGTACATTCTTCAAATTAATATGAGATACAAATTGTATGCTCTGCAAATCATGATATTGAATCATCGAATGCAGATTCAATAATTTTGCAATACAATTCGATTGCTGAAAACACGTCCATATATGGCAGACATTGCCATGCACACAATTGGTGGATTAATACATGCAAAACAATGATAGGAATTATGATCCATTTCTAATAGTGCAAATCGAAACGAAAGCGTTGGCACCGAACTGACATCAGTTGACATAAATTAGTTTATTCGACAGCACCCATAAAATAACAATTTGCAGACTTTTGGTGATTCTGAACCAACGCAGGAAAGTGTTCATTATCATTATCGACACCAGTTTAATATTGGCAAAACCTCGCTTGGAAGCAGAGTTGAAACAATAAAAAAGAGATTGATCCATCGATGAAAGTCGATAATGACTTTTGGAATTCATGACAGATCTACCTGCCTTTCATTCCAACGCTATCTAACATAACGTCAACGATCCGGTCTTGTAGTTTTTTATCGTTTAGTATGTTTCATATTTTATTTTTTCCAAAGGTGGGCAGCAACACGCCACATAGCAGCATTTTATG